GTAAAAAATTCTCTTAAGGAACTAACAGTTATTAAGTTATAGATATTTAACAAACAGTAACACAATAACTAGATAATACATATGAATTAAACTGTAGCTATGTGCATTTAATTGGCAGTTCAGGGGCCTGTGAGAGCTTATAATAAGAGAACCTAATCTAGCCTAGCATACCAGGGAAATTCTCCCTGAAGAAGTAACATTTCTGCTGGAAGTGTGGCCCAAGTGGTAAAGTGCCTGCCTAGCAAGGACAAAGCCTTGAATCCAAACCCCAGCACTGCTAATAAAAGTGACATTTCAAGGTGGCACTAGGACAGTATGTAGGCATTTGCCAGGTAAAGAACTAGGACAGAGATTATCTCAGAGAGGACATGGCACAGTGAAGGCCCCAGTGTGAAAAGTGATGGACAGAAAGAAGGCCAGTGGACAAGAATGAAGAAGGAAAGTATGTTAGGTAAACCTAGGAGGTAAGTGCAGCCCAAAATGCATAAGGTCTTGTGGTTCAATGTAAGGATTTTGAAAATATTTTGGACTTGGCTGTGAGAGGAATGAATTTGATTGGCCAGTATTTGTGGAGTGGAAGGGTAAAGGTTGGGCTCAAGGTGCAGAGAATGGGTGAACAAGGGAGACTGTGGCAGGCTCAGAAGAAAAGAAGATGAATCGGAGATGGAGCCAAGTCATTGGTGAATCCATGTCACCTGCCAGGACGTGGAAAGTGATAGATTGCAGGTTCAGTAGCTCAAATCAATCAGAACCAAGATGGCAATGGTTTCATGACCAAACCTAGGCTGAGGAAGCAGAGCAAATAATAGAAATAAAAAGTAGTAAAAGTAGCAAAAAGTCACACTATGAGCTTTCCTCTTTTGGTCAAAATAAAGAATCTGAAAGTGGATTTACTCTCTCCTCTGAAACAAAGAGAACCTTAGATAAAGATATGTAAAACAACACTGAGCACACTGGATGTCAGCCAATAAAGGACAATGATCTCCTAGAAATGGAAAACAAATGAGGGGAGCTGGCAATAGCCCCAGCTGGTTGCCTGAAGAATTGCCCAGGTTGCAGTGCAGAGGGAGTAGAGAGTCAGCTTGGGAGAGGAACTGGGACTGGACATGTGGGGCGCCAAGGCAGTGAGATTATCAGGGAAGAGAGAGAATGCCCTGGGGTCTGCGGTGTCTTCCCTGATAACCAGGTTGAGTACTGAACAGATCATGCACGGGAAGAAACCACTCAAGACCGAGAAATGGTTCACACAAGAGGATGCAAGTAAAGAGGGTCGGTGCTCACAGAGTGCTGGGGGTAGTACTTGTCTCAACAGGCAAGAGGGAAAACAGCTCACTTTGGGGGACACCAGTTATCAGTTAAAGATAAAAGTTTCCAGCTTCAAAAATGGGGGAACATTTAATCTAGACTAAAGACAGCTCTGGAACCACCTGACAAAACTGAAGTGCAAGACCCAAATGGACAAAACTGTTTCCAAGTTTTTAACTGTGTCCCAGAACAAAGCTCAAGAATAATGATAGGGATGCAAAAATACCCAACAAACAGCAAGGCAAAATTCATAATGTCTGGCATCTGATAAAAATTATGAGGCACACAAAGAAGGAAGCTCAATCAGCCCAAATACCATGGAAATGACACAGATGACAGAAGTTAATAATGATATGTTTTCAGCTGGGCATGGTGGCTCACGTCTGTAATCTCAGCACTTGGAAGGCTAAGGCAGGAGGATGGTGGGTTTGAGGCCAGCCTGGGCCACCTAGCGAGTCCAGCATGGGCTATGCAGCAAGATCTTATCTCAAAAAATGATGGTAATAATAATATATTTGAAAGTTAGTGTAAAAATAAACATGTTCAGACATGCAGATATAAAAGAGACTCACATTGATGAAAGTTACATTGTCTAAGGTGCAAAATCACTGAATAAAATTGACAGTTGTCACAAACTTCAGCAGAAAAGACTCAAAGACAGCAATATAAGCTATCCAAAATAAAACACAGAAGAAAAAAAAGGGCAAAACAAAAATAGGCAATTGGTGAACTATGGGACAATATATACTTACCGTGTGACTTCATCATTCTGCTCTTACGTATTTTCCTATGAGAAACAAAGCTTATGCCTGCACAATGACTTGTAAACAAATGTTTATTTATAATAGTCCAATCTGGAAACAACTTGAAGTCTATGAGCAGCTGAATTGATCACAAAATTTGAGGTATGTCATACAACGGAAAATTCCTTAGCAATAGAAAGCATGAGTTATTGCTATATCGGCAGATTTAAGCACAATGAAGCCGAGTGAAAGAAAAAAAAAGAGTATAAGTTGTAGAGCTATATTGATGTACAATTCTAGATAAGGCAAACAAATCTACAGTGCAGGAAGCAGCTCAATGGAGGGAGGGTAAATAGAGGCAGAAGGGAGGAATACCTAAGGTACTTTAGGAAATTGAGGGGGTGATACACATATATATTTGTCATTTTGATTGTGGTAATAGCTTTGTGAATATACATATATATATCCATATTCATAAATACAGCCAACTAAATATTTTAAATATTTGTATCTTAGAATATTTTAATGATATCTCAAAAAAGTCATTGAAAGACTAGAGGTGTGGCTGAAGTGGTACAGCACCTGCTTTGCAAGCAGGAAGCCCTGAGTTCAAACCCCAGTGCCACCAAAAAAAAAAAAAAAACCATTGAAAAGAATCGTATAAACAAACAAACAAAAAAAGCAAAACCTTGACTTTTAAACAAAGGAGAAAAATGAGGTAGCAGCTAGGGGATGCTATATTGAGTGACAGTTGGTTTTGCTTGTTTAGGGGGCTTTGATTTGGGTTTGCTTCTTTCCTGAAACAAACCCAAGCAAGTTTATAAGCTGAGGGAGGGAACAGGAAATGACAGGCACCAGGAACAAGAGGTGGCAATTGATGGAACAAAGTTCTGAGAGAGACAGGATATTCAGAACCCAATGCCAGACCATGCAGCTTTGACTAGAGAGAAAAGGGACAAGGACATAAAGATGCTACAGGGCACAACACTCCCTGCTTTTTATTCTCCAAAGGCTGGACTCTGAGAATAAGTTCTTATTCTGAAGTGCCAATAACATTACTTTAACATAAGCTAATCAAATTTTCAGTGCTTCGCATTCAAGGGTGGTTACCTCCTTAGAAGTTATTTCTCCCAAATTCAATAACTCCTGCTAAGTCCAGGTTTTAACTGACATGAATCTGTGATACAGTGTAAAAATAAGATTATTTGATTGAGCACTGGACTGTGTCTTTCTCCTTATTAAGAAAGGGTTCTTCACTTAACCAATTTGCCTGTGGTCTCACAGCTTTTGAATACCAGAGCCAGCATTCAAGCCAGGTCTGTGTGACCCCAAAGTGCTGGTTCCTAAGTTGGAAGCCAAGTCCCAAGTCTTTTCCTTCTTCAGGTAATTCAGTCCCTTTAGACATTCATTTCTGCTGTTCAATGACAAAGTTGAACCAGATGATCTCAGATTTCATTTACAGTTAGAAATATTTGTTAACTTACACTGAAATGGTAAAATATATTATATGTGTTATCTACAAACAACTATAATAAAATACATTGGTTCTTTTAAAAAAAAATAAGAAAGGGGTCTTGAGTTAGATGTTTTGGTCTTTCACCAATGGTTCTCACATAAGCAACCTTGAGAAGCCTGATATTTGTGTCCCTGGCATGTTTTTATGAAATAAAAAAGCCAGTTCTCTAACTGAAAGAAAGGTCGACCTTCAAAATTATAAATTGATTATATACAGTCACACAATCTCTCTCTCTCTCTCTCTCTCTCTCTCTCTCTCTCTCTCTCTCTCTCACACACACAATTGCTTGCTCGCTAGTATTGATATTTAATATAGCATTATCTGAACAGCACAAAAACAAAGTGTCATTTCACAGAATCTCTTGTCATTTTAGCATGACCATAACGTGTTAATGCCTTACTCTCCCAAAGTATCATTTTATTTAGAAAGATTCAGACTTCCAGAGACACTGATTTGGGAACTTTAAGATTTTAGTCCACGGTATAAAATTCTGATCCTGTAAAAATAACTTCTGTATCTTTCATAGTCTTTCAACAGGTTTAAGGAGATGCACAAATTAATGTCGGTCATTTGTACTTAGGACTTCACAAAAGCTGGCAGATAAGGTAGAAATTGTTGCTAGTTTAATTACCGCCACTTTGGATCAACTCTGTAGACGCTGGACACAGGGTTCTTTTCCAGCAAACAGGAAAGTGGGTTTACCGGGGGTTCCCCCTGTGGAGAGTTTGGAGTTGCCCCAGTAATTCAGGTAGTGACCCAGCCCAGTTCTTTTGAGTTTGGGTGAGGACTTGGGGAGGGCTAATCTTCTAGAAAAACTAGCTGGGGAAAGGGGCCAAGCCATGGATGCTGATCCTCAGTTCCTGGGGGGGCCGCATTTGGGACCTTCCAGCTCAGAACTTTGGGCAGCCTCTTCTCTCCTGCTTTGCCGGCAGGAAAGACATGTGCGGCAGTTGTCTCGCTCCGAAAGCGCGTAGTTGTGCCGCGTGCGGGTGCTGAGCGCTTTGCTGAGATGTCCACCGAGTACCGGATTCTGGTACCCGCTACCCCAGCGCCTAACCCGTGCATCCCGGCAACAGGGATGATCCGGGCTGCGCCTCTCTCTAGCAGGACTAGACGTGAAGGACAGCAGGACGCGGACGCCGCCCGCCGAGGAAGGCACTCAGGCTGTAACGCGGTCCGGCGCTCTTGGAGTGCGCTGGCGGCTTGCTCTTGCGGTCCCAGGCCCTTCTTCTCGGGGTAGAGCTTGGGGCTGGAGAGTTGGGGTGTGGGTGGTTCCTGAAGACTACATTCGTGCGGCTGTTACTCCAGCCCCTCTCCCCGCCGCTCGGGGGCGGGAAGTGGCGGGTGGGAGTCACCCAAGCGTGACTGCCCGAGGCCCCTCCTGCCGCGGCGAGGGAGCTCCATAAAAGCTCAGTTGCGACCCGCTCTCTGCACCCCACCGATCGGCTCTCACCCCTCGCAGAGGCGCGCTCCACAGCACAGCACTCGCCGCCCAGCCACGCCCGCCCGCCAGCCACGGTGAGTGCCAGGACCGGTTTGGGAAGGGGCGGGAGCTGTGGGGGTGCCCATGAACTTGCCCGGGGCGCCATCTGCGGAGCCCTGGAGGGTCGCACCCGGCTCCCCAGCCTCTGCGCTTCTGACTTTGGTGGTTTGCTAGCTTCACGCCCAGACGCCCGCCAGCCTGACTTGGTGGCTAAATTCCACTTTTCCCCTTTGGTGCCCTCTGATTGTCCATCTGTCCGTCTTCCGGACCTACCTGCCTCGGGATTGTTTCTTGGAGGGTATAGAGAGAGAACATGGGATCCCCATCCCCGAACAGCTGACGATCTCCCCAGATCATCCCCCCAGGAAGCCCAGATTGCGGTGAGAAGGAGGGAGGTTTCCCAGGGAGCGCCCCCGAGTGAGGAATCCCCACGGTGGGAGCCTCGCGCCCTGACATCTCCAGGATCCTTAGGATCAACATGAGACTAACTAGTTCGGGGAGAAATCCTCTTCGCACCCCAGCTGACACTCCTAGGGCTTCACTGTCCAGACCAAAAGTGGCAGGGAAGAAAGTTTTCTTCTCCAAAAAGGGGCTGGGGAAGAGGGGAGGCAAGTGATCAGAACTTGTGATTCTGTCTTAAAAGTGTTTAGAGTGGCGGGCCCCCACCCTCTGCCTTTCAACGAGCGACTCTTCCTTGTTGAGACTTGGAGCGAAGTTCCGGGGGAATTCTCTCGCGGAGCAGAGAGGCCTGGCCAGGACACATGGTGTTCTGAGCCTGCGAAATGGTGCTCTGCTCCCTTCTGCCGGACTGGGACAAAAGAGGATCGAGGGTCGAGGGTGGTAGGGAAGAGGGCAGCAGGCGGACGTCCTCTGAATCCCCAAGTCCCCTCCACTGTGCCTTCTGTGCCGGCAGATGCTAGGAAGCAAGCGACTGGGGCTGTCCGGACTGACCCTCGCCCTGTCCCTGCTCGTGTGCTTGGGTGCTCTGGCCGAGGCCTACCCCTCCAAGCCGGACAACCCGGGCGAGGACGCGCCGGCGGAAGACATGGCTAGATACTATTCTGCGCTGCGACACTACATCAACCTCATCACAAGGCAGAGGTGGGTGGGACCTGCAGGACTGACCCCGTGAGCGCCATCTACACCTGCAGATCCTGGGGATTATAGGCGACAGGGACCATTTCTTTTTCTTTGCCATATCTCAAGTCTAGATAGTGTCAGGCACATACTCAGCTTCAGGTAAATGTGAGCAGATTCTCTCTCCAAGTACAGTCACAAAGTGGTGATCAAAGATTCAGGTCCTCCAGGATATGTGTCTCTGACCTCCCGTCCCCCTAGCCCCTGTCTCTTTTTTTGTTTTTTAGCAGATGGGGGCCTGTTTAGCAACTTTGATGGGATAGTGTCTAGTGAAAAGGACAGGGGTGCAGCTGGGAAGTGATGTAGGAAGAAGAGTCAACCTGATGTCTTGGGAAAACAGGACAACCACCAAAGAAAGCCAAAGAGCAAACAGTCAGGCTACCAAAGAGGTGATGGACTTTCCAGGGTGAACTGAGTGACAATATTTGGGAAAAGACAAATACAACTATGTATTTCTTTTCCCCTGTAAAGCATTTTTGACACTCTCTGCCCCATGCTAGAAAATCCCAGTCCCAGTACTTAGAGATTTAGCATGAAAACAGTTGATCTAAAATGCACATTTTCCTGGAGGTGTGGCTCAAGGCGTAGAGTACCTGGTTTGTAAGCATGAAGCCCTTAGTTCAAACTCTGGTCCGACCAAAAATAAATAAATTAAATGCAGAATTTCGTCATTCTAGCAGGGAAGTTCTGAACAGAAAGTGCCCACTTACTTTATTAAAAAAAAAAAGTAGTAACTCTGCAATAAATGCGGGAATTGTGTGGAACTGAAAAACGGTAAATTTTATTCTGAATGACCAGAAAGTCAAAATGAAATACCACATTTTCACTTTCAGCATTGAATATTAAGCAAAAAATCAAATTCAAACTATTTTAGAAAAAAACTTGAGATGTAAAGTTTGTTTCCAAAATTGTTACATTTTAGTTCTAACTCATTTAGTACTGTATTTTAATTGTTGGGATCAAATGGTAAGGACCTGTGAGAGATGAGTGCTTTTGAAGCGTTAGTGTGACATAACATGTTTCAATTATGTGTTGTAAAAGAGTGGGGTTCGTTTGGGGGAGTTAAGCTACATTTTTATAGTTTACAAGTTGGGGAATGGTTGGAAAGGATGCAAAAGAAGAATTTATACTGCTGAAATCAAGTTTCCTTCTTTCCATTTTATAAGAAGGTGTATTATGACATCCCCAAATGCCTTATGAAAAAATACTGATTGCTATAGGATCAATGAACAAATAATATTGGTTCATAATCTTTTGAAATCTGATCATTCTAACTAGCAAAAAGCAAGAGTATTTTCAATCCTAATCAACGTCCCAGAAAATTAATTGCTTCAAATTCTTGTTTTTGCTATTATACAGCCCAGAGAAAGTAATTTATAAAAATAAAAATAAATAAATAAATAAATAATATTTTTTAAAAATATAAAAATAAATAATATATTAAAAATAGAAATAATAAAATTTATAAAAATAAAAAAGATATTACTTATTTTTTTCCCTCAGAAAACTTTTGTTAGTTATGGCATAATATACAGTAGAACCCATTTTTGCGAAATGGATTGCTGTAAAGCTTTGCTATTGTATAAAGCTTTAGTATTTAAAATGTTTTCCTGGCATTTCATTCAGTTTGCCTCAAAGTTTTGAAGTGAGTATAATTATCTCCATGTTACAGATGGTGAAACGAAGGACATTTTATGGAATTTTTTAAGGGGTTATGGAATTGGAGCCCTGGAATAGATTTCCTTGGATGTGGTCATGACCATTTACAGTCAATGTGATTTCCCCTTGAGTTTCATAGGAAGAGATTCAGGTTAGACAGGAATGAACTGGTCCTTGAGGCAGTTGCTTATCTTAATGAAAATCCCTGCTTAGAAATTATCGTAGGCTCCTAATCTACTCACATCTTCTCCACTGTGCACTCACTGACTTCTCACCAAAGATGTGCACTCATATGCACAGTATGTGCTTTTGAAAATCAGTGTCATTTGTGATTATGTTTTTAATTCTGCATGCGTGGTCACCCAAAGGCATTCTCTTTCTTCTTTTCTCTACTCAGTCTATTATGTTTTTAACTGTATATGTTCCCGGCTCATTGCTTCTGAAAGTTGCACTGTTTGTTCCAGAGTGTGAATCTATGACATTTTGCTTATATACTTCCCGAGATCAATGGTTCTAGGCTGGGGTGATTTTGTGCTTCTCAGGACATTTTTCAATGCTTAGAGACATTTTTCATTGTCACGACTATAGGTGGCTGCTATTGTCATCCAGTGTATAGAGGACAAGGATGTTCCTAACACCCTTGCACGCAGCACGGTCCTCTATATTAAAGAATTATCTAGCCCTAAATGCCAGTAGTGCAAAGTTGAGAAACTTAGTCCAAGATTAGTGTTTTTCCAGCCTGATTTCCCATTAGAATCACCTGAGGAGCTTTTAAAATAGACTGACATTGGCCTTCTCCCCTGACGAATTAAATTAGACTCTATGGGGGCAGGGCTTGGGCTTTATAGTGTTTTTTTTTTTTTTTTTTTTAAAAAAAGCTTTTCAGGTGATTCTAACGGGCAGACAGGTTTGAGAATCTTTGCCCTAGAGACTAAAGCTTTGGAAGTAGAATCCTTGTAGAGAAGAAGGATAATCCAGAATTAATTAGAGAATGAAGAGGAGTGAGCGAGCATGCTGTCCTGGATGCTAGATTTTGACTATGCAAATCCTGCCATTCCTGTGGTAAATTCTTTACCGGTAAATTGGAGAAAATAGTTGGCAGTTCTTTTGCTCAGTAGAGCTTGAGGAAGATAAGTAAATTAAGATTTGTCCAAGAGTTTTAAGATTAGCAAATCAACTGAAGGACAGGATAACTAAGTATAAGAAGCAGCCTACAGTCTGGCATGACACCTCCAGAAAGTCTTTGAGAAAATCTTACATGTGAGGAGACAGTAGTGGACTGAGGGATTGTTTTGTTTTTGCTTCTCTTGAGGCTCAGCAAAGGGAACCTTTCCCAAACATTTGGCTTTAGTTGTGCTTGCCAGTCATTAGAGCATACCCTTTGTCAGCTTGTTTGGCTGTTGTACCTATTAGTTAATCCAGGCTAAGTTTTCATTTGTAAACAAGATGACAGCTTTCTCTTTTCTGAAAAAGGAGAAAATAATGTAAATTGGTGTAGACTTTAGCAGTGTCCTAGAACAGATAGCTTGCTCTCTCCTGGCAGGTAAATGAAACCTTGTATTCATGTATTGTCCCAACCACATCTTGAAACACACAAACACACACACACACACACACACACACACACACACACACATTTATATGGACTAGTAGTAGTCTCAGGGAAGGTTTTTAGCTCTTAAATCCTCAAATAAATATGGAAAATCTAAGACCAGGCTATGTCAGTAGCTGTAAGTGTGGGGTGCATTTCAACAGCAGCAACTTCTGTTTGTGTATCACTTTGTCACCCTCAAAGCATTGGGACTCACATTTTCACAAAGACTGTGATTTAAGCAGGGGTTATGATTTATTTTTATGAATGAGAAAAATTGATTGGAAGACACGGGTGTATCTTAAACATCGTCATGCTGTCAGTTCCCCCCCCATGCCTGCCCAGGACTGTTTCTAGAATACCATCTGGTCTCTTTGTTAAGATTGAAACTGCTGTGTATCATTAACACCACAGCCAATCAACTTGGAAACATTTTAAATCATGCTTTAGTATTTTTTAATTTCCTGTCACCTAGTAATAAAATTATGTCAATATGTGTTGCATTGGCGGCAAGATTTTGGCTAGGAATTTTGGTTTACTTCCAATAATCTGCTGAATTATTAAGCATTTAAGCAAATTTAAATGTGTCAAACATAAATCGTATCTATGATAATGGTTCTGGTGATATACATCTTATACACCTGGATTACTTGTTCACAGATGAACAACAGAAAGCAAATTTTAGGCTTAATATCCCAAATAGGAAATTATCCTTTTTTTCCTAAAGGTTTTTAATGGCTATCCCAAACTTGCTTTAAAAGGCTTTTCTTTCTTTTTTTCAGATATGGAAAACGATCTAGCCCTGAGACACTGATTTCAGACCTTTTAATGAGAGAAAGCACAGAAAATGTCCCCAGAACTAGGTATGACAAGGTTTATGGTGGGGACATTGTTGCAAAGGTCAAGATGCCCAGGGAAAGGGAGTCAGAGAAAGCTGGTGGGCTACTGGTAAACCTCTAAATTTCTGTGGGATGACAATTTCTAGTCCACATTATTTGGTGCTCTTTTGAAAATTCCAAATCTAAGGAAATTTTAGCTCAGAAATTACTCTGTATAGAATTTCTAACATTGTTAGAACTGGGGAGAATGTAGTAAGTCCCCATCTCTAAATAGATAGTCCCCAACTATCCACCTTTGGCTGGGATAATTGTTAGTTTTCACACACTAGGTTGAGTCCCCAGATGACCTAGGCTATATCCCTCATGTATTGGACTGTAGCCTTATTTTTACATGAATATCAATAAATCAGGTGCTCCTGATGACTTTTGGCATATTTTAGTTCGATATAGTAATTTGTTACAGTCATTGGATAACCATTGAATGACATATTATTCTTAGGAGCCTAATCTGTCCCTGTGGTACTTTCTGTGGTGTGGCTCTGGCTTGGGCAGAGGTGCCCACCAAAATCTAGGTATTCACTATGGGGCTAGAATGGTCTGGTGCATCCTGCATGAGGAAAGAGTACTGCTGAACGAATCCTAACTCGCCTCCATTTTCATACGCCTCTCCTCCCCAACCCTGGCTATGCTGTCCTCCCCTGGAGCCTCTCTACAATAAGATCACAGTGCATGGGTGCCACTTATGTCCCCATCCACTGTAGATTGGTTGCCTGAAATCTGAACTCTACAACATCAAGAACCAAGTTCCCCAGAAGAGGTCACTAGCACACTTGCTCAGGGAATGTGACTGGAGTGTCACTCTTCATGGAGGTTTTCCCTGGAAAAATCCATGGGTGATGGGTGACAGCTGGGCCAGCCACCTCCTCCTCCCACCCACCCTCAGTTCCCTTGTGAAATGGCCAGCAGAAGAGAGGGTGGAAGGGGGTGGAGTTGGAAGATTTGTTTTCTCTGAGGGAAATAATGATTTGAACTGGAGTAAAACTCCAGTGCTCTTGTACCTAGAGGTACCAACCCAGATGCAAACAGTCAGTGCAAGAGGAATGATGGGAAATTCATAAGAAATGGGACCCTTTCCATGTGTCATTGATGTTTGTCACAAGGAGAAATTTAGGATAAAATGATACAGACCTACTTAGAACTGTGTTACTGGTTTTGTTTTGTGGCCTGGAATAACACAGTGCATGAAATAAAGTTAATTGCACCCTGATTGACAGGCTCAATCATGTGCAATTACAAGGAGACAAAAGTTCATAGCCTTGAAGTTGCCTGTGAATGCTGGTTTATTGAAAAAAGGCTCTTTATAGTCTAACAAATAACATCCCACTACATAAACGGGCTTGCAGGGAAACGGAAGTGTATTCAGAGCTGAGTAACACTAACTTTCTTGTTACAGTTTCATGTGATTCCTGTAGTTTTTGATCTTCAGAAAGATTGTGAAGTTCCTCAGCTCTTTGATATGTACAGAACCTTTAAAATACTTGCCAGAAGACTCCAGTTCACATGAGTGAAAGCCACTCAGCTGGGTCTTTGCACATTATACTGCCATCTCATGTCCTGCTATTCCTGTTACACATGGTCTCTTATTTAGAGAGCTAACAGAACTAAGTCTCACTCTTTCAAGCTCCCAGGAAGCAGGTTAGCATCTCTTACATGCCTTGCTTCCTGTGTTTTGCAGGCTCGAGGACCCTTCCATGTGGTGACGAGACACGAAACCTGCTCTCCAGGCTTTTCCTATTTTCAATGCATATTTCATCCTGTAAAACTAAGAGACTTCCTGTCCCACCAATGCATGCAGCGATTGTGCTGAATTTTGCAATGTTTTTCTTTGTCATCATTGTACATATGTGTGTTTCAATAAAGTATCATGCATTCGAAAGTGTGTTTTCAGTGAATAATCTGTTATTACAATAGAGAGAACTAAGTTTTTCATTAAATTATAATCTCCCTCAAGTGGCAGACTTAGGACTTGTTTCACTTATATTAAAGCAGTAGTATGAAAAATATAAAGGTATGAATATTTATGATGAACAATAGTCTGTGTGAGTGTGTAACATAGAAGTATGTAGACACATAGATCAAGGAAATGTTAATTTGGAAATATTTTCTCAACTCTCTCCCCCATTCACATGGAATCTTTATTAATTGTAATAACCTGTGGCATCAGCAGAAGGGAATGCTGTCTCACAGAATTTTCAGCAAAATGTCCTCTATTCCTCTAACATGGCAGCCACTAGCCACGAGTGGCTTGTGAGCACTTGATGTGATTAATGTAAATAAGAATAGAGTTTTACACTTTATGTAATCTTATTGAATTTGAATAGCTACATTTTGCTAGTGACTACCACATCAAACAGCTGCGGTTTACACGTCTGTTTAGGTCACCACTCTTAGAATTTGAGTCAAAAACATACTGAGCGGGATGACTACCTTCTCGCACGACGGGGGTCACACTAATTTACAGTTACCTAAAGGTTATTCAACTTTCTCTTTTTTCAAGTACCAATTTGCATAGGGTAGTTTAAAATTAATATTAGATTCTTACATGCAATTTCTAAATCAAAGAAAATGAGTCTCACCCATACTAGTACTTTGTACAATACTATAAAGAATATTCAAATTGTCTTATGTAACATCTTAAAATTGCTTGCAAAAATCCAAGAATAACAGTATACAGTCATGTCCTGCTTACTAATGGAGACGGATTCTGAAAAATGGGTCTTTCTGTGGTTTTGTCTTGGTGTGAACATCACAACTAAGGTGGCTATGATGTTACCAGGCAATGCAGAATAATTTTAAGGGATTGCTGTCATATGCGTTGTCCATCACTGAACATGTGGCACATGACTACTCATCATGACTTAGAGAATCATTTCATGTATATAATACTCTCTGTACATAAAGAATTCTGACATTCTCTCAGCCAATGAAGTTCAGTATGCCACAAAATATAAATCCCTTTAATTAAACTAGGATGAAATTGTTCTGTGATTTTCCAAGATCCTTTCATTTCTTTGTTCTCTTACTAATATGGATGTGTAAAAATGGTTTTAAAAATCATCAAAGATTGAATAAGTCATAATGTATTATTATACAATGTCAGCAATCTTTATTAATGCACTATATTTAGAGATTTTATTAAATGTAGTATTATGCTAAAAAAATGTTGATTCAAAGATCCGTCTGCAAGCACAGATATGCTGAATGTTCTTCGCCACATATAGAACTCTTGGTCACATGGAGCAGAACAGATAGGAGTGATATATATGAGCCACTGAAAGATGATCCAGAAATTTCATTTTAAATAAAAAAAAAACCTTAAACTCTAACCCACCAAACCTAAATGTCTGGAAATCTTGACATTAAACAAACTACATTTTACCCACACCCAGCCCCTGGCCTGACTGCCTCTTCACTTCATCTTACTAGGAAGAGAATTGAACCTTGAATTGCCTGTTCTCTGACTTTCAAATTCACTGAACTTCTGTTTTGTAACTCATGAAATGTAAATAATAATTCCTGTCTAACTTTCAATATTTGTCAAGACAAATTACAATTAAGTACTTGTAATTGCAAGGAGGATAAAGTTTTTGATAGGTTAAATTATCAATCCCTAATAAATAAGAGTTAATTTTAAGATATATAATATAGTGAACTTAAAAAAAATGCAAAACTGCATTCCAAAAGATTCTGGTAGTAGCATTTCTCAAACATTTTTAGCCTGCTGACAATCCTTAGAATAGGTTTAAAGGTACTAGATCAACTGTATGTTATTGCAAATAATAATAATAATAGTAATATTCACTCAAATTCAGTAAGAACAGTTCAACCTTCACTAACAAGATGGCTATGAGCAACCTAACAATTGCTAAGGACATAGGCAAGCATTTGTCAAGGTCTTCTGAGAACTAGTTCTGGTCTATATCCTCTGAGGCATAAACATTGTATGTAAGGTGTTTGCAGATGTTCTTGTGTTTCTGTTTTGATCCTTACAGTGCCCATAACATAGTCAAGCAGAAGATTATCCCCTCAGTTTTTGTAGACAGGGAAACTGACACCTAAAGAAAGTAAGTGGCTTATCCACTTCATTCAAGTTAGTGGCACTAGACAGAGACGCTTCTGTTTGCAAGCTTGCCCTGCCTGATGGTGCTTTCCAGAATAAGTAAGCTGAAACCAAGTCACACATTATCCAGTGAAGAACATAACTCCAGCACATTTAAATGAGAGAATAACAAGAGGATTAAACTAATTGTGCAAGAGATAAAATGGGCAAAACTAGTTGAAAAAGGCTGAATAGAGAATGTAAATGTGATGCCAATGTCAGGGAAGTTGTGGGTGAGGTGACCAGCTGGGCTCAGCACAGGAGGGTCAGACCCAGCTTACCGAAAGGATATTCAGGGGTATACCTGATAGGAGCTGATGCAAAGAGATCTGAGGTTGGATTAATGAAGTAGGCCCAGACTCATTCCTTCAATAACAAGTTTTGAGCACCTAGTATGTATTGGATATTGTACTAAGCTCTGGGGATACAAAGATCAGCAATAGCTTTTTAGAGAATTTATCATACAGTGAGGGAGACAGATTGCCGTGCATTGTTGGAAGTGTAATTCTATGGATGATTATTATTTATTTTTGCACTAAGGTTTGGGATGTGGTTAAGTTCTAGAATCTTCCCACTCATCAAGCTGCCCCTTGAAGTTTCCTGACAAGGGACTGGGCCTATATGAGTCAATTGCCAAGGGCTGGAGATGTGGTTCAATTGTTAGAGAACCTGTCTAGCAACCATGAAGCCCTGAGTTCAAATCCCAGTACTGCCAAGAAAAAATTAAGCATCAATTGCCAAGTGGGAAACAAAGTGCCAGGTGGGCAAACTTCCAATGAAGCCAAATGCAAGGTTGCCTTAGTAGGCTGAGTCAGGATGCCTGACTGAGGCCTGTGCCTCCACTGTACCCCTACTTCCAAATCAAATCCAGCCTCTGGTGGACAGTGATAGGAAAAAGGAATTCTCTGGGGCACACTCCCAAATGCACTTACACAACAGCCATGTAGACAAGGGCCAGCCTGTCACATCTAACAGCTGATAGAAGAAGAAAAGCGGTGTGATGGCATGCTACCTTCCAACAGTGTCCCTGCTTGTTAGTAATGTGGTATAATGGAGCCATCAGAATAGCAAGTCCCATTCTCCGAGAAGGATACAGGAAAGAGAAGAGAACAGAAGACTCTAACACTTGAACATCTTACAGGTCCTTCAATTTCAGTGTACTCAAAACTGACATTTCCTGTTTCAGGAACAGAGTTACCTCCTCCATTCCTAACAGGAAATGGGCACCTGACCTTATGGGAGTGGAGAATGGCTCCCACCCCAGGTTGTGGGGAGCACAGGAGGCAAGACAGGCTTCTTTCGGCAGCTGAGGCTTGAGCTGAGTTTTGAAGGACAAGCAACAAATGCCAAATAGGAGAAAGAGGACATGAAGAGATGAGATAGCAACGTGTATTTCGATGACTTTTTAACCGTTCCTGAGTCCCATACTGGCCTCAAACTTGCGATTCTCCTGCCTCAGTCTTGCAAGTGCTGGGAACTACAGGTATGCGCCACCATGCCCAGCTCCTCCTCTTTCTAACACACAAACATTATGCATATTTGGTTACTTTTTACCTGCATACCATAGAAAATTGTTCTTTTCTTTTCCATGCAGTACATTGGAGTCAATTATAATGCCATTAGAACTAAACAAATACATTTTCTGTTGCCATAAAGGAAAACTGTAGTTTGAATGAAGTATTGCAGTGGAATAGTCCTTTATTGTGCTTCTGGGTAGGAGGGTTATGATATTGCCTGTTACAACAATTAGCACAGTGTGAAATCACACAGAAACCTTTCCTCTTTTTAAAATTGAAATGAAATAACATATAATTAATCGTATGTGTCACCTGCACTCATTTTTTTAATGTGCAAAGTAATAGCTATCAAGTTAAGCTCATTCTTATGCTGCAGAATTGAAATGTGCAATTAGGGGAATAGGGTGACGTGTGATGATATTGCCTTGTTGCCTGACACGCAGTAGGTGCACAGAAGGAGCTGGATCAGGCTGGAGCTCACTGTGAGGATTGGGAATGACCTCAGAGAAGCGAGAATTCATGTAGTGTTTGGCGAACAACCTTGCAAAGGTGCTTTGTGAGAAAATAGCATCATTCAAATGGTTTTTCAATAGTTGCCTAGTAAATTTGAATTTTATTTATTCTAATACATACATCTTTTATATCACTGCCAAGTCTTTTCAAATCAGAGCCACCCACTAAATGAACTTGTCTCTGGGATTTAATGCAAGAATAAGTACACACATATACAATATAGTCATTCTTCCTAATAGAGTGGATTATTGAACAGGTTAAAATGGGACCAGCTGACTTCTGATGGGTTTTTAGAGTCCCAAGGATGTTATTAATTCTGGAAATACTTATTGCTACGTTCTAGGGGTGATATAAATGTGAGACAGACGATTTTCCTTCTTTCAAAGACCTGGCAATTTATGAAGGAGATAGATATATGCTTAAGCGACTATAAGTCAGATTGTAATCAATGTTTAAGTAGAAGCAAGTATACAGTAAGGGTTGTGGGAGAATAAGGAGCCATCTGCACTAGTGTGTGAGGAGTGGAAAGTAGTATGTGACTTGGCTTGATTAAGGCAGCTATTTAATAGGCTGCTCTCCACCTTGGTGGATGTTAAGATCATTATTAACCACTAATTCCCAGAAACAAGGCTGAGAAGATGCTGTAGCAAGCTTCAGCTGGGACTGTGAATGCAATGCCTGGGGAGGTCAGGGTTGGGCATCCATCTTTGTGCTGATGTGGATGTGAGCTGTGATGAGAGAGGAAGGACC